CTGTTTTTCTTTAAGAAGATGTAGATCTTTCAAAATCCATGTACAAGGAGTAATGACACGGCTGAATGGTGTTCATGCACAGAGGTCTCTCTGACCTATTGGCACTTCCTCACGTAAGAGAGACTCCCTGCATAGAAAGTCATCTCATCAGGAGGTTGGGCCCTAGAGATTTTCTACTTGAAAGATTTTACTTTAAGCAACCTTCCTGGTGGAAAAATATGGGGTAGCAGAACAAAGGGAAGCATATGAATTTTCTGCTTTGATATTTAGAACTTTCATGGCATTTAGGCTAGAGCAGATTCTACCTCTTTTTAAAAAGCAATTTCTTATTTCCTGGGTACCAAGATAATTCAGAAGAGGCCATTGCATGCTTAATACTGAAATCTCTACGACCTTGAAATTACATTAAATACATGCCCAGTAACCATGTCCACCATGACTGAAGGCTACCGCAAGCCATAAGAGAGGCTAAGAGATGGGGCAGAAAACAAGTTAAGGCAGAAATCTAAGCAACCTTGGCCTAGAGTGTTTTGTATGGAAGGTAGAATTAACCACCCAAGAAGTACCTGCGCTTATGTTCTGCTCAGACTCTCCTTTTAAGAAGAGTGATCATAGAGATCCCATAGATTCTGCAAAAAAAGGGCAAAAAATGCTCAGCTATACTAGTCCAAATGGACAAGCTATTGAAATTTAACTGCTGTGTCAGGTCATAGGCACTGTGTAAAGCCACATTCCTTAATTACTGTTCCTGTTGCCTTTTGTTACTGCTTAAAGAAATCTGCATGGAGCACAGGTGCTCCTTCTCAGTGCCAACTCTGCCATACTGTCTCTCTGCTTGAGTTTCTTCAAAGTCTTAGAGTAATGAAAACATCACAGTGATGATTTTTACTGTTCTAGAGACTAGTTTGTGAAAAGAATTCAAACATTTTATGTAAGAGTGCTGAAAAACTGGAACATTACAGGGAATTCAGTTTGTACAGAACAGGTTTTAGAAGCATGATACTGAAAAAGAACTTATGGGATTTTCCATATTAGTGATGGAAATATGGCTTAGGTAGTCTGCTTAGACCTGTTTGGACCTTAGTCTGTGAGGTTGCAAGTTAAGAACATGGGTGTTTGTGTTAGCGTGAAAAGAGAAAGTTAATTTTGGAAATTTGGCCCTGGAGGAGGACTGCTCAACTTTAAGAATTTGTTCTGCCTTAAAATATCCCCCTACCCCTCAAAGATTCCACTGGGAGGTGAAATTTCAGAAACTGCACATCAATGTTGCAGTTATTTAAACATATTTCATTTTTTGTCAGACCTGAAACTACAAGAATGTTTTTCCCTATGATCTCAGAGTTTGTAGCTCTATTCTGTCTTTTCTCTGTATCTGAGTTTGCTTTTCCATACAAGTGCAACAGTATATAACAAGCACAGTAACTGCACGATTATTTACTTAGGGCTTTGCCTTTACTAAAGTCCTTTCACTGGGACTTATGTGCAGAGTTGCATGTGCCTAGTTCAGTGAAGTGCAGTCTAGCAAAGTAAACTGAATTGGTAAACACACTGAAACTTTTATCTTACCCTTCCCACAGAACAAAATAATACTATTAAAGAACATAGTTAGATCAGAAGACAAGGTAGTTATTAGATCAGAAACCCCTACCTTGTATTATTTTGGTAAGAATTCTTCTTGGTTTGCATGTGGTTTTTCCCCTCTGTCTGAATCCCATCTGCCTCACCTCAGATAGCAGCAGTGATTTTTCCATATTGCTAACAAGTATTGTCTCTGGTATTCTTAAAACACTTATCCACTAATGCCTCATAAAACAACTGTGCTCTCTTTATGAGCAAATCTTCTGTGAACTCCTTTTTAACTGGAGATGGAAGTTCTCACTGTGTTGCTTAAGAGTCCTATGAACAACACTGAGTTTCCAGTGCATCTCCAGGTTACTACAAGGAATTTGTTTGAGATTCAAACTATCTTGGATGAGAAGACTACATGTGGGAATGAAACTCATGTGATCTTGCACAGCAGGAGCTGGGACCTTTGGTTTTGGTGCCTGCAAAGGCTGTGTGACTGGAAGTCCTACTTGCCTCCCAAGAAGGCGTCCCTATTTTCCAAGACAAAACTGAAATTGTTAAGTACTGAGAGAGGAAGAAAAAGAAACAAAACAAAGAGAAACGCCTTACCACCAATGAAAGTAGGAGGCTAGACAGAAAGTCTGGAGGAGGTGAACACAGGGCTCAAGCAAGGAGACAGGACATGGGCCCTTGCTACTGCTCTCTTTTTGCTAGATTCCAGAAAACAAGGCAGTTCCTGGAGCATTTCTTTGAGGACAGAGAGAATCAAGCCCACTCCCTTCCAGCACTAGTGTTTTCTGTGAAGCTGCCAGGGTCCTTTGTGGTAGGTCCCACCTGGAAGAAAATGGGATCAGAACGTTCCACAATCCCGTGAGTTCCTAATGTGTTGATGTCACCCTTTCTGAGAGGAAAGATGGGAGACATTGCCTCAGTTTTTCTTCTGGGTTTGCCAGAAGAATCTCTTCTTGTGGACTGCAGACCAACAGCTCTTGCTTGAGAAACAAAATGCTTCCTGGGATTAGATAATACAGATCTCAATTTACTTCCAAGAGGGCTGTTGAGGGGAGCAAAAGTGCTGCTCACTGCCACTACTATTCTTTGTAGGGATTCACAGTTAAAGTTTATTTCCTTCCTTTCTCTCTCAAGTACTATCAGTGGATGTCTCCACTGGAGAAAGTTTAATCTGTTCAACTCTGTTATCCAGTTCCACTGGAAATGCAGGTGCAAACTGAACCACAAAGTTCTAAGGTGACTAAGAATGCAGAAGGGTGTGGAGGTTTGACTTGTGCACTGTGACCTGGAACTGCCAAGAACTTGTAAGTAAGAATTCTCTGACAGTGTGTGCTTGTGAACCTGCCTATGGGCAGCACTGACCAGCACCAAAACTGAGAGGGCTGCCATAATCAGAGCACTGTGAAAAACAACACCTTGCATGTAAATTTCTGTCAGAATAATTGTCTTTCCAGTGCTTATTAAGATAATATAAATGTCTGTGGGGAGAGATCAGCATTCATTCTTCTCAGAAATAAAACTCTCTCCATGATGAAATAAAAACTCCCTTTTGAGACAGCTTGCCTTTTTTGTTATGAAGTGACTTTACATTCTCAGCCATAGACTGCCCTGCAGTGGTAAAGCTAAAATCTGCAGCCTTACTGACTTTTATCCAAGATCTTTAGAATTCCTCATTAAGAAGTAGTTTGCCCGTCACTGGAAGGAACAGAAAGAGCCTGTGCAAACTACAGACCAAATGAAAAATAAATGAAACAAGGAAGATTGCATATTTCAATGTAAATACAGTGTGCAGCAAAATGCCACTAATGACTGATAATATTTTATCTCTTTTTCATAGGAAACAAGGCAGATTTGATCACACCTTGTATCTATCTCCAGAATTTATTTGCTGACTTCAGTCAAATTTAACTGAAAAAATTAAAATCTCAAAGACAGCTAAATGCCAACAGATTTTGAGAAATGCAGTTTTTATGAAAAGTTCAAGGAAATGTATGGTTCTAGTGTCAGCATAGAAATTGTTGGATAACAAAGAATCCATAGAGGAGAGGGACTTTGTATGTGTCCTGGGAGAAAACTCTCAGTCACATCTTACAATGAATGTAGAGATAGAAATCCTTAGAAACTAAAGCAGAAACTGAGCTTCATTTAATCTACAGATTGCTCTGTAAACTGACAAAACTTTCTTCTTGTTAGTTCAGCTAACTCTCCAACTCCAGAGAAATCTGCTTTCCAATCATAGATTTGTAATGCTGAAAAAAATATGGAGTTTCATTTTCTGAACATCCTTATCAGTCTTATAAAATGGCAGAAATCTTATTTGCCTTTTAAGATGCAGTACATTTGATAGTAGCAAAAAATTGTGCCACCAGTCCTTTAGGTAGCAAAGATGTCAGTATTGGGGTTGGCTATTGCCAATAATTAATGGAGACAAAATAAACCAAAATATTTTTTTATCACTACAACAGGTGTGGTTTACCCTCATTGTACTCAAAGGTGATTCAAGAGAAATTAACATATTCCAGTTAGCTGTTTCAGCTCCCCTTACAATAAGATAAACAGGCACTCCTTTAGATTTGTCCTTTGTTAAGAGAAAAATTAATATAAAAAATGGCTATTGTTTTCCATTTTCTGCAGAGGAAGCTTAGGATTACTAGCTAGTGATGGGCATCTGTTTTGAAAATATTGGAATTTGGAGAGCTCTTACTATGTAGTAATTGTACACCCTGCAAGCACTGTGAGTGATCTTCATATATTTTTTAGTGAAAATACATAATTGCAATGAACTGAAACAGTTGTTGCATACAGAACTCTGATAAAGTAAGTTCTGGTGCTGAACAAGAAGTTTCTCCAAGTCATCTGAATAATTTCATTATCATTATTCATCTTTGCCTTTGTTTTAGCAGAGAGCATAATCTTCTCTTCCACCTTATAGACTGGGTCTTCTGAACAGCACAATCTGATCAGCTTTTAAGGAGCCAGGAGTAGATACCCCAAAAATTTAGGAAACCACTTGACTTCCTATAACTTGAAAAAGAACTTTTCTTCTCTCCTCAAACACAAACTCATCAAGATTGTATAAGAATAAGTACAAAAGCCATGCTTTTTGAGATGTGCTTTTAATCATTCTGAGAAAAATAAGATTTGGAAGGGAACAAAGAGGTTGTGCACTTGTAAGAATACAAATTTGTGTTCTTATTTTGTGCACAAATAAATAGGGAACAGTTAATTAATTAGAGAACAAACAGGATGCATTTACTGGGAAAAGTAAAGTACAAAAGTAGTCAAGGAAGCTAAGAATGGTTCACAGTCCTTTTAGTTAATGATGTCAGGGTTTTTTTGCCTTCATTTTGATGTTAAACTGAATGGCTCTCTTGATCTGGTTCAGGGTGCTCGCCTTGTCATTTTCTTCATTGTTCTGCAGCTCACTGGACTGTGGGCTGGCATTCAGTGTCTTGACAGCTGCAGCTGTCCACGTAGATGTACTTGTGTGACACTGAGTGCCCACCAGGGCATTTCAGAACCACGTGCTTCTCAGTGGTGCTTGTTTCTCTGCAGCAGGAGCAGCTGTGGTCCATGGAATTGGCCTCAGCAGAGTATCTGTCAACATGCAAAATGGCAACGTTACTCAGTGCCAGAAGCCAACACACAGGAGAGGGTGAAATCAGGTACAGAACTCCTGTGAGAAGAGCCACACTTGTGGCTAATGGAAGTGCTAAGCTCATCTGACAGAGCAGTGATTATAAAATGCCTAAACCAATTAAGGGCAGTGTTAACATGAAAGGGAAACAGCAACTCTTTCTGTTCCCATCTCACTGCAAAGTATTTTTTGCAGTCTTGTGTTCATCAGCTTCCTAATCACCATTCCTAACCTGAAGAATCTGTCAATATCAGGCTACAAACTGTGACAAGATCCATCTTTTTTCTTGTATTTGGTAGAAGTAACCACAGCAAGACCCTAATATGATCAGGAATTTCAAAATACTAATAAACTCCCTGGCTTCTCAGAGTTCCATGTGATACTAAAGATCAGTTTTCATCCATGTAAGGTGCACTGTGGCAGACTCAGTGATAGGCAGTAAGTGACAGTTTCCTTGGAGAGTCAGAGTTGTCTTTCCAGTTGTCTTTTAGTAGCTCACTACCAGGTGTCCTACTAACCACTTCCTTATAGCCAATTTTTAATATAGTCTCTCATTTCAGAGAAAAATGTACAGTCAAGTTACTCTACTAACACCACACCTAAAGCATTTTTTTTCTCATTTCTTCATTGTATAAAGATTGTGCATATTTGAATCTTCCTTTGAAAGATGTATGTGTATTTCATTTTAGGTGCTAACTATAGAGAAGCAGCTTTTCCACTTCCAGTTGTCAAGTCTGACTGCTCTCTGGGCTCATTCTCATTACAGGAAATAATCCATGTTCTTTTGTGACGATTTCTAGCCTAGGTGGTCTGACACAAAGCCAGCTCTTAATGGATGAGTAGGCCTTATTAGAGCTGTCTGAATCCCAAGACAATCTAATACACTTTTCTGCTTTTTATTATGACAAATCAGCTCGTCAGTCACAGATTCCATGATTTTATGTCCATGATTCATGAAGCAGATAGTTCCAGGTCTTCTACCATTGTGTAGTCTACTATTTATTGTTCCTTTTATATAAACAAGCTCAGTGCCACCAGGACTTAAATCTCATTGTCTGGTGAGTTTACTTACAGCGAGAAGGTTCCACATGTTCCTTCACATTCAGTCATGTCAACTCTGTCCACGGAGCGGCAGCCATTGTAGACGATAAAGTCACTTCTGTGGCGCACAGAGCACGGTGTGCGACTATCCAGAGGGGCACCTGCAGGGAAAGAGCAGAAAATACTTTCAGTGAAATAGCTCCAGAAGTCCCTTGCACCTCATCATTCCCTGGGCTTCACTAGTGCACTTAAAGAACTGCCTTAAGTGGTCTTTCTTCTTCAGCTTCAACTTCTCCAGAGAGATCAGGCAGTGAAGGCTTGGAATAACAAATATGAACATAGAAGTATCTATTTAAATACAAATTTATCTGGGAAATGGGATGATTTAAAAAGACAATTCATTCTCTGTATTGTTGATTCAGATACACTGGCATACTTACAGGTTCTGCAACAACCGTTAGGTAAGAATGAAATAGTTCCCTAAAATAAAAAAGAAACAAAAAAAACCACATTATATTATTCTATATTACAAAGACATTAAGGCCAAAAACTGAGGAGAGCAATTCTTCAGTGGCTGGAAATAACAAGTGAAAACTGGTTACTGTACTGTAACATTGATCTAAATAAGCAAAGATAACAGTCTCTTCCCGACTTGAAATTTATCAATTTACAAAGGATTGTGAAAATACAAACAATTCTTTGAAGGAAGTCTACAGTTAACATAATGAAATTTTTGCTCAGAAGAAATTCTAAAAAACGGTTTCTCAGAGTCCTCTGTATTTGAATAGAGACTATGCAGTGTTACTGGCAGCCTACTTACTGACTGAACAGCTTGTGTTTCTGTAACATTCAAGGAAACCTGGCTCTTGTTGAGACAGAGCCCCAAACAAAGCAGTCAGCAAAGATTCAGTATCTTGGTGCTGACCAGTATTTTGGCTTCTGAGAGACAGCTACCAGTTATACCTGGGTGAATTCTCACCCAGGTATCTTCTTTTATATACTCTATAGGGCTGTGCAGGGATGCATCTGGAACTTCTGCACTTTGGGCTGAGAAATTAGGATGAAAGGCCATCAGAGATAAATTTTATTTTTGTTGTTAGTTAGATGGCTGAAATAAAATGAAGTAATCTATGTATGGAGAAGAGGGTAAATTTTCTATTTTTACTTACAGGTTTGCAGCTCTCCTCATTGAATGCTGGACAGGTAATCTCAGATGTCGAAGCGACAAGCTGGTCATGAATCTCTACACAGCTATAAATAGTGCAGTTGTTGTGAGGATCATTTTTAAAGTCTCCAGGCTGAAATTGAAATGCAAAATGTAATAAGAAAAGCTGAAGTGGTCTTAGACAGAATTTTTCTCACCCTCTGATAATGCCTTTCATCTTGTTTCCTAGTCAGTTATTTTTAGGTTAACAGCCATTTGGGATACAGATCATTATATGTATTGCAATATGCCATACATGGAGAGAATTTCAGTTTTATATGGTATTTTCCTTGAGAAAGAAAAATGTCTCTAAAGTACATGGCATATTTTAACAAAATCATCCATGCCAATGGATTTTTCCTTCAAAAAGCTAGACTGTTTTATATTAATTAAGAAAGACTCTAAACATCCATCCTACTAGGGCAATAGAATTGTTTCATATGCAGGCTTTAATAGTGTTTTTCAGCATAGAGAAATCAAATGACATAGAAAAGCCCAAGCTTCCAGACACTGGAAGAAAACCCCTTCCAAGGGTATTGGATTTCTCATTCCAGGAAGGGCCTTACAGATAATTTTATTTCATGAGACCTACCCTCAGGTCAAAAAGCTAGGTTTTGCTTTAGATGAGATTTTGATCTTTCAGGTGCAAACTTACACTAAAGTATTTTCTCTGGCAAGGAGATGTTCTCTTTCTGGAATGGGGAACTTTACAGATTTGGTGGAGAATAAAGACATAGAGCATACTTACACTCAAGATGAGTTCAGAATTTTCTACTGTGTGTATAATACACTTGGTCTGCACACATTTTCCACAGCATTCACCTTTCACTGGTTTAAGTTCATATCCCTAGAAATTAAAAGTAATTAAAAACAATAGCACTATAATTTTTGGGAAATAAATGAGAACATGTGAATCCATTAATTGATTACACTTTGAAGTACACTCAAGATGTGTGCCTTTTTGTGTTCCAAACCAACAAGAGATAACTAATGGAATCAGGTTATAAATGGAATAAGGCACTGGAATAAATATGCATAATAATTAAATATTATTCCACAAGGTGGTCTACAGAAATTTCCCAGCTAATTCTGTCACTGTGAACTGAATGCTGACAGTTGCACAGTCAATCTCAGGCAGTAGATTGCTCAAAAAATAGTTGATATCCATGCTGGAGTTGGTCTCTGGGTTTCACCTCCCTCTTTTTTGCTTAATACCACTCATTGATCAAACTGGAGTTCACATATATGGGTATTTTGGGGTCTTTTGTTTCTTTAAGTTTGACACTTACTGGTTGACATTTTGTGTTGCAGGGGACATGTTCACAGGAGATGATATTCAGTTGAGTGCTGACATTAACATCATTTGTGCAGACACAATTCTGACACTTGTCAACAAAGACTGAGGAGTTGGGCTACACATTTTAGGGAAAAAAATCACATATTAATGAGTTATTACATGTTTAAACAGGCATTTATTAATTTTTTAAGAATCTGTAAATAAAGCATGGGAAAAGGAAAAAAATCATAAAGACAACTGGATAGCTATTTGGCTAGTCATTTGAGAAGACAACATTTTAAATACTGAATATAATTTGTGTCTTTATTGAAGTCCTGTATAACAATGACAAACTCTGTTATTAAAAGAAAAGGTACTAGACCCAAGAGAATTAGAAATCTAAATTTGGTTAGAATAATACTTATTTATATGTCTTTTAATGTTTGAAAATAGTTTTAAAACTGCAATAATGTGCTGACAGTAAATGTGGACTGACTTTTTTAAATGTCAGCACACTTAACCCAAATTCCTGCATGATATTGACATACATGCAGCTCTTCAATTTCTTTCCTACACAGAAAACTTTTCAGAAAAGATTTAGGCTTTGTGAAATTGATAAACTCTTGACAGAAATCTGAAAATTTCTAAAATATTTGTTGTACTGGATAAACCTTTTCATAGCACTTCTGATCAAGTATACTGACTGGTCTTTAAAGCATTTTTAGAAGACTGTTGAAACAAGAACTTACCAAGAACTCAGCATTCTCATGTACGCAAACCCCCTTGGGAACTGTTAATAAGCAAAGAGTTAGATGTTCAGATAGGAAAAATGAATAAAAAATGTCCTCACCCCACACCAATCCAACTCATTTCTTTCACAATGAATCACAATTCATATGGTTATTCCCCAATTCTGGTAGCAGGACATGTATAAAGTATAAAAACTAATACTGCATGTGAAAGAAGAGAAAAAGATTTGGCCCAAAATATGCAGTCCAGTTCATCAGCAAGAATGTCCACTTAACTGATACAAGCACTTCCTTGTTTCAGTTACCAAGAGTGGTAAATCGATCTTCTACTGGGAATGCTTCTAGGGACTTTTTGCTAGATTAAGCTGAGACCATCATCCCAGTTAATTCTGTAGCTGTTCTTACATGTATTTATAAGCAGGAAATTGAACTTGAGTCACCTGAGCTATATCTGATTTCCTAGTTTCATAACAATAGCACTAATAACCAATTTTAATATTAGTGAATTTGCAGAATCTGTGTTTAACACCTCTTTCAACAGGCTATTGAATACAGTCTTATTAAGTATAGTGCTAAATTATGTCATAAATAAAACTATAAGTATAATAATTGTAATATATTTCCAAGGGACTTACCACATTGGTATGCAGGACAGCACTGACCACTGGGAATATAAGAATGAACTTCAAATCCCAGTGAGCACTTGGGGGCTTTAGATGTGCACAAGCTTGTATTGCATTCTGAGGAAAAAAAAAAAAAAAAAAAAAAAAAAAAAATAAAAAAAAAAAAAAAAAAAAAAAAAAAAAAAAGAATAAGCCAGAAAGTACACTAAATCACAGCTACAAGAAAGAAACACCTATCAAAGTGCTTAGGATGAACTTTCCATTGCTAGGGAACAGTCCAGATCCTCTTCAAAGAAACAAATTGCAGATAGGGAACATGTTTTTCCTCATAAATCCAGGCACTGGATATGGAGTACTGTTTATGCATTTTTTTTTCTACTATGCAATTATGCTGTGTTTATAAAGTATCACTATTGTATGTGAAGAAGTAGGGAACAACTCCTACTCTCTCCATGATTTTAGGCAACTGCTGGAAAATGAAAATCCACAGAGAATTCCATAATCTTTCTTCATTTTGCTTAAATAAAATGTGGCCCTGAACACAAAAACTATAGTTTTAGTTATGTTGAATCCCATAACGGTAAATTCAGTTATACTGAATCATTGTAACATTAAAATGTATTTTCCCTAGTACTGGGCAAGCTGATTTTAAAAAGAATGAGGAAAGATACTATTTTGTGGCTCCCTGCTGTAGATCTCTGGTACTAAGGTAGTTCAGTCTTTTTTCCTTTCTATTTCCAAGAGGTATAGAAAGACTAGAAACAAGAGTATAAACTCACTGCAAGTGAAAAGAGGGCAGCAGGAGTCCTTAGGATTGACTTCAATGACCTCATAGAAGCCTTCTCCATCACAAGTGACTTTCTTTTGGTCACATACATGAGGTTCACATACAATACCATGTTCACCTTCCAGGCAAATACAGTCCTGACAGTCCACTGTAAACTTTTCCCCAAACTGCCATTGAAAAACAATAAAATAAGTGATTGTATAATAACCAATTAAAAGGAACAGAAGTAAAACCAGGAATACAAAGTACAGAGATGACAAAACAAGATTGTACCAGTGGAGCCCACTCTCCTCTCCCCACCCAAACTTCTACTTGAAATCCAAAAGCATACAGCATCATACCTCTCTTGGTATCATATCCACTCCAACACAACCTGGAAAACACCAAAATAAATTTCTATTACCAGTCATATAACAGAAGGCATCTCTATTGTACATTGTATGAGCACTGCATACAATTAAATATTTGTTGTATACATGGAAGGAAACAAAGAGGAAACCAACGTGCATCCAAGTGAAGCAGTAAAACTCACCACAGGTTTTCACGCAGACATCCACACCAGAATCATACAGCATGGTTCCATTAGGACAGAAACAGCCTTCTGCTTGTTTAGTTGATGTCTCATTCTGTCCTCTGTGAGATAAAATGTTCAGAGGAAGACCATTAATGTCATAGGCACATACAGGAGGATTATGCCAAATAACCGTTCACTGGAAACACAGTGGCAAATGATCTGCATATTTGTGATTGGGGTTTGCAGTGTCTGTGTTTGATATAGCCAAACAGCAGAAACAGTCCAGGCACCCAGATTTAGGGTCAACAGAATAGTGCTAATAAATTTGACAGTCAATTTAAGAAATGGGAGGAGGTTGATTTTGCTCATTCACCTGTGCATTAGATAAAACTGAATAGTTGTACAGGCTATAACTGCGAAGGAATATTTTACCTTGACTTACAGGTCATCTGTTTAATAGGACCACATGCTCTGTATTCTTTACCTGAAGGACATTCGTAAGCTGGAATGGAAGAAAAAAAAGGAGGAACAGCTCAGTAGCAATATCATATAAAACCCCATGACCTTATGCCAAGAACTTAAATACTGTTCACTCATTTTCCTATGTATCTATGACAATCTTGGGCAGCAAAGAGGAAAAATTCCAGATAGACTTATGTGTCTAAATGGAATAATTTTGTGCAATTTAGTCATAGAGATATAATACTGCACTTTACACTAAGATGATAAAGCCAGGACTCTACATCTTGACTACAACTTTTTCGCATAATTTTAGTCTCTTTTGCACAAGTTCTCAAAGGGGAGTGTCAAACTTCCCTTTGTGCTCTTACTACAGATGAAAACTCATGTACATGTCACCAAATAGAGAGTAATCTGCTGATGCCTGCAAAGCATAGAACTGCCTGCATACAAAAAATGTACGTACTGATACAGATGTTTCTGGCACAGTCAATACATGGTTTCTTTGCAGGACGATTTATCATTTCCATTGTTAAAAATGTTACCTGCAAAATTACTAACGGAGAGCAGCTGATACAATTTATTGGTGCCTTCATTACTCTGAAAGCAGTATGACCTTACTGCTGTAACAGTTCCACATAATCTTCCTTAATAATTCAAGATGAATTATTATGGCCAGATACTTACAGCATACACCATTGGTGTGCTTTCTCCAGTCAATGCATGCACCTTGGTCAGCACAGGTGGCAGCATAGATCTGCAGACTTGAGCATTCCAGGTCTAGGTTGGGAAGTACACAGCTATCAAAAACACATGCTGCATAGTACTTCTCAGGCTGGACAAATGCATGGCATGGCTTGAACACACTAGAAACAGAAATATTTATCATTATTAGTTACTGAATAATTAATATATTTTTCAATGTGCTTAACATGTTATGATGTTGCAACAGTGGGCATGGGAGATTGAGATGTGGATATGGACTATTGATGAGAGATTTGTGCTAAGAGCACTTATCCAGATAGTAACCTTCCAACATATCTTAAAATATTCTTCCCTCACCTTCAAAACACTTTGACACCAACATTTTGTGTCCAAGAGTTGTATATTATTGGGTGAAACTGTGTGCTATCTCTTTAAAGAGATTTTGGGTTTTTTTTCTTTTTCAGTTCTGACATAGTGTTCTAAAAATTAAGATCTCTGTTTTCAGCTGGACTCTGTTTTCTGCTAAGCAAATGTGGGAAAAGGCAACAACATGGGACAGGGGAGGGCAGAGAGTGTAGAAGAACATGGGAACATCAGCAACGGTTAATGTGGCAGCCAGAGGGTTGAAAGAAACTGTCAGCAAAGAATAAAAACCAGAAAAAGAGAAATGAGTAGAAGCAAATCATAAAGATACAAGAAATAGAGAAATAGTTAGAAACACTCTCCACTGGTACATTAATCCTAAAATCCCCATTTAAATCAAAGACCAAAGGCTTGTAAAACCAAGAGGATTGTTACCTTCCCAAAAGTAGCTCACAGATGGAAGATTCTTTGCAAGGCTGTGCTGGTGTTGTGCTAGGTGAACCTGTAGGAACTAGGCCTGGAGAGCACTGTGGTTTAGAAGGATCAACAACTTGCCAATGATCTGCCATGGTTTCACAGTTTTCTGCAATGTTTCCATTTGGCAGCATGCAGTCATCTGCCGTGTTGTTATTGCAAGTACCTAAGGGTGGTACAGGGAGAAAAAATTCACTCACAAATTTGTTAGGAAATACCATTTATCTTTGCAGCAGGGCTATCACAGTGGTTTTCTGAGAGTGCAAAAATTGGAAGAGTAAACCTTACCACACTGTCCCTGGGTATTGTTGCCAAACAGGCTGTAGGGCATTCTGATAGAAAAGGACAAGCCATTGTAGGTCACGTTCATTTTCAGCTCAGGAATTTCCACAACACGATTTATGCCTGACTCATAGACGCTCACACCAAACTTCTTATAAGGCAAAGCCACAAGCTGGTTGTTTACTGTCACCTAATAAATAAAGGAAAACAGAAAAGAGGAATAAATTTAGTTTGACTTTTCAAAACAATCGACTGTTCCTTTGTTTTGCAGAGAGAATGTAAAGGTAAATAATATCCTTTGAATTTATAACAAATGTTCCTGTGTTTCCTTTGTTACTGGAAAGTCAAACTTTTCTTCTCTGAGTCACAAAAAGCCCGTTAGCCTCCAACAAATTAAGTTATTCAAGGTTTAAACCAGATAAATCCTAACATTCAACAGACTTATTAGAGTGACTATGGCACTAAGGACTCCTTATTAAAGTGGAATATAAAATTCTCCTAAATTCATATGGTATAAAGTTTTAGGTTTCATGGCATAAAGGGAACATGCTTATAGGAAAAATAAATAATGAAAATACAACTAAAAGTGTATTATTTATTTAAATACAGTAGCCATAATATACCTGTGAAACTAATACTACTTTCACTCAGCAATCAGAGATTTCTTTGCTTTAGAGAAAAAATAGGAGGCCTAAATGTTGTAAATTTTCAGCAATATGATGCAACCTAACTTGTAATATTCTCACATAGTAATGTACAAAAATAAACCAAACAAACAATAAAAAGTTACAAAAAGTCCCAAACACTTCTCACTGATTTTGAAGCCCAAAAGCCGTGACATCACATTTATCAATGGAATAAAAATATAAGTGCCCTACTCTGAAAAATTAAAAAGATTACACAAGTCAAAGCTACAAATGGTACTTTTAAAAAATGCTTCAGTCCATCACTTTATTGTTATGCTGTTTTCCTTTGTTACATTATTGTTAATGTAAGTTAATTATAAATTAACTTATTTTATATCCTTAACTCTTAGCAATTTTTCCACACTTGTGTATTTAGGAGAGATCTGCAAAGACTTGAAATTAAAAAGACAAGAAGCTGTAGAATTTTTTCTCCCCCACATTCAGAGTAAAGAAATGCTTTGAAGCAGTCTGATTTTATAATCTAAACTGTTACTGAATCTAAAACACAGATTAATTTTTTCCCAAACCTTGTCAACATAATTATCCTGTTGATGCAGTATTAATATCTGAATCAAGAAATCAATGGTAACATTCTTTAGTACCTCTACTTGTAGAGTATTTGGTTGTGCTGTTGTTAGTCTCACTTCCTGAGTCTCGTGTCTCACAATGAGCGTTCGAGGACATGATACTACATCCCGTGTATCACAATGGTAGTTATCAATGTAGACACCAAAGTTGTCAACTTTCTTATTGATCTCTTCCACAAGGACATATGTACAATTCCCCTGATAGCTGTAGTACAGTCCATCAAAAGTCATGTAATGTGGATCTCCCCAGCCAGTGCAGTAGCCTAAAAAAACATACAGTTAAGTTAGGCCCTTATGGCAACATACAAAATTGACAATAGGATTAACTGTACCATAGATATATCTTTACCAATAGTCTGAACAAGTAAAAGATATATATAAACATATATATATGCTTCTAGCCTACAAATATCTGCATCTGGACATTGAAATCCTTCTTTGGGAGATCAATTTACTCTACTAACACAACAGTTATGTAGAGATAATGGCAACTTAAGCCAATCACTCAATTAGCTAAAAAGATCCAACAGGGCATTTTAACCAACACTAGAAGACTGAGTCACAGCTTTGCACAATACTTGTTCCCTAATAAATATTATTGGTCTTGACGATAATATTGTTTCCTCAGGAGATTAAATATTCAATAAAATATATACTTACAATCACACTCCCAGTGCCAGCAGCATCCATCCTCATCCATGACTGGCACAGGAGACAGTCCATTGGCACATGTGGGTTTCGGGGGTGGATTGCAGATTATTGGAATCACATGGAAAATGTTGTCTTCTATACATATAACCTTAGTGCAGTTACAGAGTATCCATGAGTCACCTTCCTGTGTTTGAAGAGAGGGGGAGGGGGGAGACAGAGGCAAACCTTTAGGAAGCAGTGAGACTGACAATAGTTATGCCTGAATATCTTCTGCAGGTTTCTAAAAAGACATATGTTTATTGGCAAGTTTTCCCCCATCAGAAATCTGAAAATAGGATGGAAGTACATCAGTCAGCACTATCTAGGTCTGCAATATAAGCTAGAACAACTGAGAGCTGCTAAGTGAAAAGCATTACTTACAAAAGTCAAGCCAGTAAACCGAAATGAGAATCACCTTTTCTAATTTCAGCTATCTAAAAGTGAGATGTCTCACCTAATCTCATCACCTTAACACCCTCTCTAAAGAACAATGAAAGACACTGATGAGTATGAATGGCCAATATATGATCAATTCCCTTCCACAAATGCCTAGAACATATTAATATCTAAAGTTACAGTGAACACCACTATTCAGGGAAAAATGTCCAAGGTGATTATGTTCATGCATTGTGATTGCATGAATTTTCTTCTATCTTCTACCAGTTTTGCAGACACGTATAATTTTAATTCCTGCAGATCTACTGAGCAAGTTGGTAGGCATCTGAATTATGATGAGGCTTTAGAAATGTACAAGACATGAACTTGTCTGTGTCAAAGGTGGAGGGTTAAAAAAAAAAAAAACAAAACCAAGAACTCTAAGTCAAATTTCACAAGCATTTGAATGCAGTGATCTGTTTCACAGTCCTGAAACCAATCTGTGAACCATTCTTCTGAAACCAATCTGTAAACAAGTATGACTCATACCAAATTCAGCCCTGTGGATTTTTATTAGGCTGCAATGTAAGCACACAAACAACTTTTACACACTCTAGACTTATTCAAAAGCAGAAATAGAAAAGATAGCTTAGGAGCATTTAGCTCTTGGTCTCCTCCTCATCAGAGCTATCCTACAACAAACACTGAACTGACATCTATCTCCTTGCAGAAAGCTTTTAAAAAATTATCCTTGAAGAACTAGTTGCAGTATGTAAGCTATCAATCCAAAAATAATTGGAAGTCCTGCTGATGCCCAAGAAAACTAAGGAAATAAAACAGGCTGATACTTCCTTTCCTATCCAGATTAATGCCTAGTCTCTATGTTTCTAACTTTGAAGTTATGTGTCTAGTCTTCATCCAAAGAACAATGAAAGTATGAAATCCACTCACCTCATGAGTTTCATTAGGGAAAATACTACAAGTTTTTTTAGCAGTGGTTGGTGTTAGAGCTGTAGTTGAACTAGAGACATTAACTGGAGGAGTTGAACTGTGTGTAGAGCTGCCTGTAGTGGTGACTGAAGTTGATGTTGTAGTAGGCCCAGATGTAGTAGTTGAGACAGGAAAGGTTTTGAAGGTGGTGGACATGGTGGTTGTTGCGTTGATTGTGATAAAACTACTAGAGGTGGTTCCTGAAGTGGTGGTAAAGCTTTGTGTTGGGGTTGTACCAGAGGTGGTGGTTGACACGGGGCTGGTTGATGTAGGTGATGTTGTTGGAGTAGTAACAGTTGCAGAGGTTGTCGTTGGGGTACTTCTTTCTGTTCCTACTGTGGTGGTGGGTGGAGTGGACACTGAGGGTGTGGGGCCTGAAGTGGTGGTCTTGGTGGTTGACTCTGTTCCAATGAATGGGGTTGTTGACACTGGTTGTGTTCCTGTAGGGCTGCTTGGTCCAGAGGTTGTGATGGTGCCAGGGGTGGAAGTGGTTGGTAATCCTATTGGAGGGCTTGTGGTCCTGGTGGTAGTGGTCTCATGGATAGGTGTTTCTGTTACTGGTGTGGTGCTGCTGGATCTTGAGGGCGTAGGGCCAGAAGTGGTGGTCTTGGTGGTTGACTCTGTTCCAATGAATGGGGTTGTTGACACTGGTTGTGTTCCTGTAGGGCTGCTTGGTCCAGAGGTTGTGATGGTGCCAGGGGTGGAAGTGGTTGGTAATCCTATTGGAGGGCTTGTGGTCCTGGTGGTAGTGGTCTCATGGATAGGTGTTTCTGTTACTGGTGTGGTGCTGCTGGATCTTGAGGGCGTAGGGCCAGAAGTGGTGGTCTTGGTGGTTGACTCTGTTCCAATGACTTCAGAGGTGGTAGTTGTCACTGGGCTTGTTGACACTGGTGATGTTGACTGTTGGCTAGTGGTGCTTGCAGTAGACACTGTACTTATTTCAGTCGTTCTTGTTGTCTGCAGTGTGGTAGTTGAAGGAGTAACTAGAGTGTTTGGCGTTGTCTCTGGTTCAGATGTCTCTTTAAGAAAGAAAACAGAGTACTTTAAGTAGGGAAATTTCATTTTCTTCCTAATATCATCTCATTTTCCACTAAGCATATGTGGTTCAATGAGCCTATGCATAGGGTCTTTAGACAGAAATAAAGCAGAAATTGTTCTATTAATGGTTTTGCATCACTGAGGGATTATTAACAAAATATCCTACCTCTTGCATAGGAGACATTGATATTAACACTTTATCAACAATCAGTGTCAGAGGGAACACGTGCACATTTATATTGCATGGAAGAGCCCAGCAGTCCAAGATCCCAGGGGAATCTACTGAGTAGATCAGTGAACTCTGGTTAACACTGTATTGCTGTCATACTATATTCTATGGAAAGACCATTGTTCCCTGTGCTGCTTCATGTGGCACATTCATACCACTATTGATTATGCTCAGAGTCATTTGATTCTACAGAAAATGAGCCATTGCTGGAGCATTCTAATGTGTTCCATCCATTTCTAATGCCCAGGCCTTTAAGAATACTCACACACAAGCTATTTTGGGGTGCTACGAACCCAAAATACACTTTTCTGCTTTTTCACATGGCCAGTTTTCATTATGGTTGCTAATGGAGATTCCTTTAAAATAGTTTTTTATTAAGATGTTAAAAAGTGTTCACAATTCTCACAGGCCAGCCTCAGAGCCATCTATTTGTGCTTTTATAGCATGATATAAGTGACACATGGGAGAGAGAGAAGTACTGTGTACATAATAAGAGAGCAGTAATAATGTTAGAGGAATTAAGATACACTGATTCTGCCCAGGCAGGCCACAAGAACAGTCCTTCAATGAAAACTAATTTACATTTGGGTGAGAGCAGGCAAACTCCTTCATGTACTTCATGCCCTTTAAAAGAAGCAGATGAACTGGAACAACAGGAGATACAACATTGCTGCTGAAAGGTTAGCTGGGATTTTTTAAAATATAATTGACTACAGTAATGCAGAGTATAGAAACTAAAACACATGTTAAGCTGCCAATAAACCCGACTTTCTAAAATCAGCAAAGAACATGAAACCCTGGGAATTACTTATTGCTTCAGTGGGTGGCATCGTCGGGTTTCTGGTGTTAATTGGAACAGTGCCGGTAGTTGGAACAGTGGTTGCTGTGCTTGGAGGGCTGGTGGTGGAGGTGGTAGTCTCTGGCAGTGAGGTAGTGGTTGTCAATATTGGTGTGCTCAGGGTGGATGGAGATGTGCCTGTTGGAAATATCAGGGACAGGGAAAACAGAAAAAGGCACAAAGGCATCAGTGGGACTCAATGTGAACTCAACAGAAGCTGCACATGAGGCAGCTACCACAGATCTAGAAGGGTCAGACCACCCTAGCACCAGCCCTTCCTTTCTGGCCCCAAAAAGCACAATATTTGAAATCCATGCACACACAAGGTCATGTCCCTTCCCTCTGAGCAAAAAGATGCTGCTGGAAGGTTCTTCCCACCAAAAAAGAGACACCTACCAATAGGTAAGAGATGAGGAGGAGCAATGCTTTTGATCTTGCTGGGGCTTTCTATCTCCATGTTATTATCTAGAACACTACACTAAATCCTCAGGTAAGAGCTGAGATGTGAAGCTGTGATCCAGGAAGGAAGCATACACAGCAGTATGTTCCTGCCTGATTGGCATGTAGTTTTCACAATGTCACCCTGATATGTGGCTTCTCAGAGTACTAGTGGATCTGATCATCCAAGACCACAGCTCACAGAAAGTCACAGTCTGCAGAATGAAATTGTTCCCAAAAGCATATCCATCCTTCCTACATCTATAACAGCTGACAAGCATTAGCACTGATAGGGCAAAGGAATGGGAGAGTGGGAAGGAGACCTACATACACAGTTATGTCAAATCAGTGCCTAAAATGCCAGTCCTGAGAGTACCATGCCACAATTGCACGTATGCCCAGTGAATGTGTTCTGGCCAGCTCAGGGACAAGGTCCAGCAGCAAAAAAAAAAGGCAAGATTTCCTATCAGTTCAAGATCTGTGTAAGCTGAGCATCAGCATGAAACACCTCCTCTGAGCCTTTTTGACTGAGGGAAGACCAGATTTTTTGCACAGAACCACAAAACCTTGTTCCTTTTTAATAGGCAGATGAAAGGCAAGTTATAAGCAATGGCTCTTCCAGGGATGCTCTGCAGTTACACCCATCCCCAATTCCATACTGAGACACACAGTTTGAGGTTCTCATGTACCTTCAGGGCAACCACAGAATGGGAGCAAGAAACAGCACAAGCCAGAGAAGTACCTGGAGTTGGTGTGGTGGTGGTGTATGTTGGTGTTGGTGAGGATGTGCTTGAAGTAGTTGGGGTGGATGTTGGTGGTCCAGTAACAGTGGTTGTGCTCATCGGGGTGCTGGTGGTGGTGGTAGTCTCCGGCAGTGAGGTAGTGCTTGTCAATATTGGTGTGTTTGGTGTGGATGGAGTTGTGCCTGTTAGAAAAAGCAGGGACAGAGAAAACAGACAAAGGCACAAAGGCATCAGTGGGGCTCAATGTGAACAGAAGCTGTGCTGGAGGCAGCTGGCACAAACCTAGAGAGGTCAGCCCACCCTTCGCACAGCAATGGTCCTCAGAACCAGCCCTTCCTTTCTGGCTGTAGAAAGCAGAATCCTTGACATCCATGCACAGAAAGTGTCATGGTTCTTCTCTCCGTGTGAAGAGATTAAAGATGGTGCTGGAAGGTGCTTCTCACAAAATCAGAGACCTATCAAGAGGTAAGAGATGAGGAGGAGCAGTGTTTGGGATCTGGCGGGGGCATTCTATCCCTGCCTCATTATCTGAATTTTTGCTACATCCTGGGGTAAGAGCTGAGATGAGAATCTGTAATCAGGGATGGAAGCATGCACATGATTAACATGTGATTCTTTATGTGTTCCAATACCAGTCTGATGCAGGGCTTCCCTGAGCACTAGTGGATCTCATCAGAGGTACCATCAGCCAAAAATTACAGTACACAGCAAGAGGCAGTCTGCAGAGTGAAACTGTTCCCAAAAAGGCTGTCAGGAGAATCCTTCCTTCTTACACATTTAACAGCTGACAACCACTATCACACAGAGGGCATAGGAGGAGAAAAGGAGGAAAGCCTACACAGCTGAACCCAAACACAGCCTGAAATGCCACTGCTACAAGACCAAGTCCCACTCCAACTGCACTCCATGGCTCCAGTGACTACATTCTGGCCAGATGAAGGACACTGTCCAACAGCTGCAAAAGTAATGTTACCCATTGGTTCAGCATCTGTCTTAGCTGGGCACTGACATGAAATACCTCCTTGAAGCACTGTTGAGTCAGGAAAGACACGACATTCCCCCAAGAACCCCTGAATTCTTGTTCCTTATGAAATAGCTAGCCCAAGAGCCAGACTTGGCCACAGGACTTTTCCTGGGATTCACAGAAGTTACACCCATTCCTTATCCCATCTAAAGCCACATATGGAGGTGTTTCATGGATCTTCGCTACTCCCACAGCAAGGCTAGAAATACCAACAGAACTAGAGAATTATTTGTCAGTTCTGTTCCTGGGAGCAGAGGGGTTTTGGTGAGAATTATTGCTTTTGGAAACATACTTTGAGGAGTTGAGATGGTTGTTGTTGATTCAGGAACAGTGGTTGTTGTGCTTGGAGGGCTGGTGGTGGAGGTAGTAGTCTCCGGTGGCGGGGTAGTGGTTGTTGATTTTGTTGTGCTTGGTGTGGGTGTAGTTGTGCCTGTTAGAAACAGCAGGGACAGAGAAACCAGACAAAGACACAAAGACGTGAGTGGGACTCAGTGTCAACTCAAGAGAAGCTCTTCATGAGGCAGCTGGCACAGACCTAGAGAGGTCAGCCCACTCTTAGTTCAGCAAAGATCCCTTCCTTTATGACTTCAGAAAGCAAACTCCTTGAAATTTGTGCACACATAAGGTCATGACCCTCCTCTCCTAGTAAAGAGACTGATAATGATGGAAGGTGCTTTGTACAAATTCAGAAATAGGTAAGAGATGAGAAGGAGCAATGCTTTTGATCTTGCTGGGGTTTTCTATCTATGCCTCATTATCTAGAACACCACACTAAATCCTCAGGTAAGAGCTGAGATGGGAAGCTGTGATCAGGGAAGGAAGCATGCACAGGAATATGTTCCTGTCTGATTGGCATGTGATTTTCTGATGTCAGGAGTTCCCAGAGTACTAGTGAATTTTGTCAGGCAAAGACCACAGTTCACAGAAAGTCACAGTCTGCAGAGTGAAACTCTTTCCAAAAGCATGGCAGAGATATGCTTCCTTCCTGCATGTATAATAGCTGAGAAACATTATTACTGACATGGCAAAGGAGCAGGAGACAAGGAAGAAAGACTACACATCTGAGCCTAAGAAGAGCTCGAAATGCAAGTGTTACAAAATCAAGTCCTACTCCATTACACTCCATGTGTCGAGAGATGCCACTCTGGCTTGCTGAAAGACAAAGACAATAGCAGAAAAAACTACAAAGTCTTTGTAAGACAGCAAAGGCTGTTTCAGGGGCTGTCCACAAGTTAATCCATTCTTGATGCCATACAGAGGCAAAAAAGTAGGTGTTCCCACACCCTTAGTACTCCCAAAGGCAAAGAACATATGAGACTACAAAACTAAAAAGTACCTGGAGTTGATAGGGTGATGGTGTAGGTTGGTGTGGGAGAGGAGGTGCTTGAAGTAGTTGAGGTGGGTGTTGGTGAACCAGTAGGAGTTGTGGTTGTACGCGGAGAGCTGCTGCTGCTGGTGGTGGTTGTGGTGCTGGGAGTCTCTGGTGATGTGGTGGGCAGTTCTGGTGTAGTGGATGATGTGCTTGGTGTGGGTGTAGTTGTGCCTGTTGGAAACAGCAGGGACAGAGAAAACAGACAAAGGCACAAAGGCATCAGTGGGACTCAGTGTGAACTCAACAGGAGCTGTGCAAGAGGCACCCCCACAGATGTAGAAAGGTCAGTCCACACTTAGACCAACAAAGGTCCCCCAAACCAGCCCTCCCTTTCTGGCCATAGAAAGCAGAATCCCTGACATCCATGCACACACAAGGTCACAGGCCCCCTTGCCTACTGATGATACTGGGGATAGTGCTGGAAGGTGATTCACACAAAATCTGAGAGATCTACCTATAGAGAAGAGTGGAGGAGGAGTAATGCTTTTCATCTGCTGGGGACTTTCTATCTCTGCCTCATTACCTGAACACCTCACTAACTCACGGAGTAAGAGCTGATATGGGAATCTGTGGTCAGGGAAGGATGTAT